TGGGGCCAAGGGCAACCCTAGAGAGAGAGAGTGCAGAAGGACCCCAAAAGCACCTGCTGCAGGCGAGGGACCCAAGCAAAGCGTCTGGGGTTAGAGCCCCCGAGGGCCGTGGCTGCTGCGCGAGAAGGGAGAGGAAGCGTGGCTGGCCAGGGGCCTCCCTGCCTGGAGGACCCCCGCCAGCAGAGCAGCCGGTGCCAAAGCCTGCCCGGGAGGGTCACGAGCCACACGCCAGAGGAGGGGCCTTCGGGGAGGGGGAGCTCCCAGGCTGTGGTGGTGGCAGCGGCGGCTGCTCCCGTCTTGCAGGAGGCCTTGTGCTGGCCCTGCAGTTTCCCAGGCCCAGGAGCAGGCGCCCGGGCTGCATGACAGCCGCACTGTCCCAGGAGCGCCACCTAGCCTCTGCCATCTGGCATTTGCAGCACAAGGAGGGCAGGAGGGAGGGAGGGACGGAAAGAAGGAAGGAAGGAAGCGGCCACCACCATAGTTCTCTCTAAGCTGAGTTGGTGTGAGCTAGCTCACAAATTTTTAGCCTCCGGCTCACACATTTTTGTCTTCGCTCAGGAAGGATGGCTCCAAAGCAAACTGATTTATGCAGCAGCCAAATTGCTCGCTCACAGCTTTAATGCCAGTCGCTCACAAAGTAGAATTTTTGCTCACAAGACTCCACAGCTTAGAGGGAGCATTGGCCACCACCGAACTGTCTGAGCCTCCTCAGAGGGGTCAAAGAGGCCCAGGGAGCAGCACTCTCCCCCCCCCCCCCCCAAAGGGTTTTACGGGGTGCGCCCTGCCCCCCCCCCCCCCCGAAGGGAAGGAAGGGCTGATGTTCTGCCTCCATCTGCGGGTCTGTCTCAGTGACTCTGAGCCTCTGCTTGGCAGGGAGAAGGCCCCAGGTTCCATCCCCAGCATCTCCACTTAAAGAACCAGGCAGTAAGTAGGCGATTGTGGAAGACCTTGGCCTGGGACTCTGGAGAACCACCGCCCATCTGAGGAGAAGGAACGGACTGTGATGGACCGAGATTCGGATTCAGTGGAAGGCAGCGTCATGGGTGTGCCCAGACGGCTACTCCCGAGCGACGCCTGCCTCTCGTTGGGAGTCCACTTGACAAAGGCTGGTTTGGACCCCCCAGGAAGCCGCAGAAGCAAACGGCGGCCGTTCGGACCCACAGGTGCTTGAACGCTAAGTGCCCCGAGACCCCAGAGGACCACTCCTCCTGCCGCCGCAGCACCTTCCCAGGGACACAACAGAACCAGAGCCTGGGGCCACGTCAGCATCTGCCCTGTTGGCTCGGTGGGGAGAGGCCACTTCCTGCAGTGCTTGGCATCTGCGGTCTGCTAAGAGCATTTCATTCCCAGCCCCTGGAGACCGATCTTGCCATTAACTACACCAAAGCGGTCTGCCCGCTCAGAGGGGAGAACAGAGAGACAAGAGAGAGAGAGAGAGAGGAGGGGAAAGGAAGAGGCGAGCTCTGCCTTGAGATCAGGCGCCTCAGGCAGCAAAACGGGGGGGGGGGGAGGAGGCCAAGCGGCCTCCGGTCACCCCCCCAGATTCGGCAAAGCAGAGCTCAGAACTAACAGGGATCTGGGACACAATGTGGACTCCGCTGGCTTGCGAGCGCTGACAGCTGAACAGACAGGGACATGGGGGAAAGGGGGAGGTACTTGCTTGTGCGCACATGCGTGTACATGCCTATTGCCTATCTCTACCTGACCCATGGGGACGTCACCTCCCCACTGCCCTGCAGGGACGATTTCCAGCCTGACCAAGGAAGGACTGAAACGGGTAAGAAGGGTCCTAGCTCAGAGGCAAGGGAGGAGCCACAGCGCAGCGGCAGAGAATGTCCTTTGCATGGGGAGGGCCCCTAGGAAGCCTCTGCCAGGGGTGGAAGCCACCAAAGGACAAGGCAACTTCACACATCGGGGGGGGGGCACGCACAAGAGGGCCCA